AAAGCAGCACAYTCTCATAAAACAGCAGCAGCAATTCCAGCACTTGCTTAGGCTTTGGAAGAGAAAGATCCAGTGCTCCTCTTTTGCTGCAGAAGTGTGAGCACCCAAAATTCAGACCTACCCTGTAGCTGTGGGGGCATCTTCTTGAAGATGTTTTCGTTTTCGTGAAAGAAACAGATTAGGTTGGGCCACAGGAGATGGACACTTACGCCATGTCCARGCACTCGGGAGGCAGAGCAAGGACAGCTTGGGTTCCACTCACAATAAGGTTCAATGGATGATCTTTAAATRTTCTTCAGGGAAAACTTAAGCCTCAATGAGTGCCTTGAACTTGGCGTTCCCAATGTTAGGACTCGCAGATGTCACCCTCTGCAGTTGCCTGAAAAACACCCTTGCCTTTGCCAGACCACCCCATACCACCCCAGACTCTCTCCTCATACTCATACTCCATATTCATATTTCTCAAAATGCATTAAACCATATGTTTGCACATGAATGCATCAACTCCACCTCATCCTCACCATGCACTCCCAAAGCAGGCAAAGGGGATTGAGGTCAGTTTATTTTCCTTATAATTCCTTCAGATTCCTGCACATGGTTTCCTGATCCTGGGTTTACCTCAACCCCTCATCCACTTGCATTCCTCACTCAAGCCCCCGGCATTTCTCCTTGGTCCAGTGCCAGGGCTCAGGTACTACAGGACACAGCAAGGGCAGAAGCTGTGGGCAGTAATTGCCCGAGCAGGCAAGTGCCTCTAGGTGGAGTCAGGCATCGTACTTATTTTGAAGCAACTCATAAACCAGCCTAGAAAGCAGCTCTAGCCAGCCAATTTGTATCAAAGTTTCTCCTGGTACAGCTTATTAGATCTTTCATAGTAGAACAGTCAGCCAAAAGGACTAACAGTCCCACTTGCACACAAGAAAATACGTAAATATTATATAAAAACGCATAAGCATTCACAGAGAAGGGAACTGTGAATCCACACCTTTTGTGAAGGAAAAAGAGTTGAGCCTACAGGCTGCCAGYAAGGCTAGCATTAAACCACCAGTGAACAGAAGGTATTGAGGCTCCTTCTCCAGACATGTCTTAACACCTCCCTTGCCAGGAAGGCAGAGGTGCCGATGCTTTCTGGCACCTTGGGACATCAGACTTGCCTGTCACCTCATCCCAGCAACACCAGCAGAGGTTCTGGCTGAGTCAGGAACTACCTGACACTGAAGGAAGCTTTCAGCTCCACATGGCCTGCAGAGGAGTTTGGGGAAACAGTTTTGGGATCAGGCCCCATTCAAGGGTACTTAGTCCTAGCACAAACTGTTTACAATGAAGTTTGTGGCCTATGGATTTTTCAAGATGTTAGCCCTTTGAGCTACAGACAAGCYAGGAGAGGCTATGAGAAGTGAAGGCACCCTGGTGTCACCCTGGAGGGGTTGCCTCTGCCTGTTCCACTGTCCAGGGGCAGCCCTTGCCCTGGCCACAGTTTCAGTCCATGAAAACTGACCGCAAAGCACTGTAGGGAAATCCTGAAGGTCATCTTTGACCTTTGCTATCTAGAGAGAAAATACCTCAAGTCAGAATGTGTTTACCATATTAATGCTAAAACACTTCCACTAGAATGGCAAGCACGATGTTTCATCGAAATTCTTATGAGATTTGTATCTACTGTAGCTCTCTTTTAAATGGAAGTTGGATGTAAAACAAGCATATGTTTCTTGTTACAGTCCTGAAAAAAAATCCATTGTTTCTGGGTTGAATGATTCAAATTTTAAAGAAATCAGTCATACATAACAAACATGATCTTTAGCAATCAAAATGTATTCTTATATTTCACTATGTATTTAATAAAAGAACTTCAAGTGATGCACAGGTTTGCTCAAAAGTGAAAAAATAATTCCAGCTAAAACTGTCATAAAACCGCAGGATTAGAAATGTCAGCTTAGACTCATAATTTTGCACACGTAAGTTGGACATAGCAAACTAAAACTACAAGAATACCTCAGTAATTTATGGAATCTCTATAAAATTTATGTTCAAAAAACTGTATTAACCAAGATGAAGGTTTCAAAATCAGGAAAAAGGAAATGCAAGATTTTCTGTTGCATTGTGCATGAYATGACCTTAAATTGCAGGTTCACATTTTACCCAGTAGGCACTCTTCTCATTCAGAAATTCTTTTCAATCCTCTTCAATGCATGACAACCTTGCTTTCTGAAAGTACTAGATACAGGTCACAAACACATCATCTTCTATATAAGGATTTTTTCACTTACCACAGAGGAATAAGGATTGTGAGAATCCCTGTAAAATTTGCTTCTGGTACCACCACCCGTAGTAATCCATTGTGTGTATGAATTGACACCAATACTTCCACATATTTCCAGAACAGATGAACTGAACCTAGATGTAGATGTGATTACTCTGCACTTCTGTAGATGTAGCCACCACCAAGATATTAAACACTTAGCAAAATTCTTCCTGCACTTCTGTGAGCCATGTGTCTTGCTTAGTATTACAGAACCTTGAGACAGCAGGAGAAATCCCAGTTCTCCAGAACAGAATGCTCTTTCCTGCCTCAGCAGACTTTTGACCCCCTTTACTGTTACCAAGTTTTTCCTTAAAATCAGGCAACTTTGCAGATAGCAAGCTAACGACTGCACAGGCTGGTATCATTCACAGAGGGGCACCCAGCCTGCACAAAGAATATGGTAAGATCCCACAGAAGTGGACAGGTGGGATGCAATCATTCCAGTGAAACTGCAGATCTGAAACCCCATTTTTTGGAAGTCCATTCCTTCCCATCACAGGTATTTTTAAACATAAATGTGAGGACTCAAAAATGGGAATCATGCTGACCCTCCTGTCACCAGCAGGATTCAGATCTTATATATAAGAAAATTCCCATTTCTTCTGGCTACAGATTAATGCCTGTCAACTCAGTGTTGCACAGAGGGGAACAYCAAATAGTGAAATATGAAATGTCTTCCAAGCTACTCATTCAATAGCCAGTAGCAGAAGCATACAAATCTCATCTTCTAAAAAAGAATTTGGTCTCTAACACMAAGCTGCTACAGCTTCTGGTTCCCAGGCAACAGACACCACTCTTRCACCTTCTTCTGCTTTATACCTCACCATTTTAGATACCCCTATACTTTTCAAATACACMCTCACCTCTGCCAGAAAATGGCAAGCAACATTTTCCTTACTAATAGCTTTCCAAGAAACAAGTAGACAATAGGCAGTAAATTTTCCAAAATACTTAAACAGAAGACTACAACACATTATGAAAATTAATAATATAAGTCAGAAGCATCTGAAAACTCATCTAAATGAAGCCTCAGTGAACAGGCARGATCTTAACATGGCTTCCTTTTTCCTCTTCCCTTTGAGCTGCCATAAAGATCACTTGGAAAGACTCTTATTAATTTCTACTCACTTCTGACTCTTAAGATGTTACATTTGAGTGTAAGTGGGTCAGTGATTTCAGATACTGAAGGCCAATTGGAGAATGGCTGCTGTGCACTCCACCAAAAGATCAGCTTGTTTTTAAGTGCCTGATGCCAATGAAGCCATTTTGTCAAAACCAAGTAATTTTTGAGACTTTTTTCTTAACCCAAACCTATGGTCAAATGAGTGGACACTGTCTTTCTACAGGATTCTAGCTTTTGTAGAAATATGACCAGCTAYGGTTTTCAAGTACTACTTGCACTGTATAATTAAGTCTCCTAAAATAATTCTAATAGATAATGATATAGTTCTGTTTTCATTAGGAAACTATATTCTAATAATTCTATAMGGAGAAGCATAAAACTTCATGCTCTGTCTCTTGGAAGAAAATCATAAAAGTTCTCAAAAATACATCAAATTATGTATGATTCAATTATTASATTTTACTATTGGAGATAAAAGAAACCTCAAATTCTTAAAAKAATCTCTGCACAGGCTTTTAAGGAATATTGGCAATACAGAATTTTGTTTTGCCACATCGGGCTGTAAAGTTTTGAGGTTAAGTATTTCACCCAGGGATCACTGTATCCACCCTACAAATGTARGGGACTTTAGTAAGCAGGTGAAGATTAATAACAGTGTGATGAGCAAAGCCAAAAATTTCCAATCCAATATTTTATTCATCTGCAATTCAGAACTGCAGATATGCTTTTTTTCCCTTTTTCTTTAGGTAAAGTGAGTGGAGCATTTGGCAGACAAGCAGGCATAACACAAGGAAAAAAGCAAACCTTGAGACCATGATGCAAGGCTGTGTACTTCATACAGAAGGTTAAATGACAGGCTTTGAATTTAATATTCTAATACTAATGTCTAATACTAATACCTATCTCAAATTAACACCACTATTRAACTATGCAAGACTAAACTCCAGGTCTTCAGCCAGTAAAGGCCTGTATTTTCTGGCTGYCAATCACTAAAAATTAGAGCATGCTTTAGGTGATGAAAAAAAATACATGAGAAGTTAACTATGTTAAGAGGCTGTTGAAACCACATCAACCACATCACTTCTACTCTTTTAAAAAATAAAAAGTCTCACAAAGCTGAAGTGAGACAGTCATTTTGGTTTACATGAAAATAGTTTTTAAGGCTTAACAATGTATATGGTATAAAAAGTTAGTGAAACATTTCCTATGTTATGACTAAGGAATAATCTATATTTCCCATTTTTGTAATACGTATCTGCATGGGTGCACAGAATAACATCCTGCTGTCTCACAATACCATTGTAACATTCCTACTGAAAAACAAGATTGTTGACTACARTGAGAAGTTACAAATGAATAYTAAATCCTTTTTAATTTAAGAGAGCAACTAGCACCAAGAGCCTTGAACATTTCTTACCTAACCCTACTACTGCAGAAAACAGCTGTATGATGAAAAGAGTAAGAATCAAAAGCTGGAATGAAGAGTGCATACCACTAAACTAATATGTAATGTATATGCTCACAGGAAAGACCCGAACATTAGCTTGTTAACATTTAGAAAGAACTCTTCCAAGATTTTTATAGTTTGACATGTTTATTTTAGTTGGATGACCAGACTCAATGARTAAGCTGAAATAGTATTCCTCAGCCTCACAATTGCCTCCCTGTGGACTTCTACAACCAAATGTTTAAAAATATCAGAAATATGTGGGTATTTTCGTGAAGTAGTTCAATAGTTACTTCTTGTTCCATGCTTCCCTCTCTTGTCTTTCACGGATTACTTCTTTTAGGTATGGTTCAAGATAATGGTGATCCTGAAAAAGAACAGARTATGTTTAAACTTACAGGGAGGTCCAAAAGCATCTCAAGTCATTCCTACAGACTATTTCTTTCTCATTCCTCCCCAGGTTTGACTAAACACCAACCTAACAAGAAAAAAAAAGAAAAAAGGAAATCCAGCCTTACTTACCCTCAAAAGGTAAACTTTGCATCTGCCAAGTTGACAATGACAAGTAACCTACTTGTCTACCACAGCAACCATTAATTCCTAATGCCTCACCTACATTAACAGGCAAAGGAATGCTTCCAGCTATGCCTTTAGAAAGTGTTTTTTTTTGACAGATAACCAAATGTACAAGATCCACTTTAATTAGTTCGAAGTCCAACCATAGTAATGTACAATATTCACTTGAAGTAGTTCAAAGTCCAGCAATAATACTCCAGATAACTTCTTTTTGRGCTTAACTTCTAAATGGTACTGTAAACTTGTATTTTATGGAACATCCTGACCACGTTCAACACTTACAAACCAAACCGCTGCTTGAGGAAATACTCAACCAGTTATTCAATGCAGCAGTTACCTAAATATGACCTATGAGACCACAAGAAACAGCCACTACTTATTCAGAGATGAATTAATACCTTTATACTCTCCTATAGCCAAAAGTTTAACAACAAAATTCATCTCTGCCTGGCGATCTGGAGAAAACTGAGACGGACAATGACGCAAAGCATGTATATCAATTCACTACCAAAAAATAAAATTTAGTTACATCTGACAAGGAAACTGTAGTTTATCTTTCAAATTACAAGATGAGACTTATTTTCACGTAGGATTTCCCTTCAAATTATTCTTCCTTGGCATCTTCATGAACAAAAGCTTTGGCTCGAGATTTTCTGTAACATTAAGAAAYTAATCAGAAAAGCAGGAGTCCTTTTGTAAGAATTTCAAAGCTATTTACACTGCATTTCTTTATCTGATRGCTCAGAGGCAATATTTAGTCTGAATACAATGTGCTGTGATTCTGAGCTGCAGCTTAAGCTTCTGTCATGTTGAGAAAAATCTAGTAATTCCTATTCAAAACCAGATTTTTAAACGGCAATCAAAGTGTTTTCCAGAGATATTCCAGGAGATACTGATTTACTCATGTAAATGATACTCATTTACTCAGTATAAAGAACATGTGAGCATGTGTCTCTTCAGAGAATGCTATGACTGGTGGTTTGGGGATTTTCAGAGCCATTTWAGACCTGCACCTTGGAAACGTTCTGTACACGTACCTCTTCATACTTCACCCACTGGTCTTTTGGAAGGATCTGATGTTTCGCACTTAAGTCTAGCGCTCGCTTTATGCGAAATACTCTTTCATTGTAAATATGTTCTGGAAGTCTCTTCAATGCTTCTTTTACATCATCATCTTCATGCAATGTATCATCTCGCATTAACCCTGTACCAAGAAGAATTTACAGTATCACTGAATAAATGCCCTTCAGTAAGATTTAGGATTGACACAAGTACCATGGGCGAAACACTTCCAATGCAAAATCATAATAAAAACGAAACCAATCCAGGAGAGCTTTTAAGTGCTCACAGAGAACCTGCAATCCCAAACACTAACTTTCACATACTCTATTTACTTTTATGCCTTTTCTTAAAGAGGAATAAGGGAAATGGGTATTTCATTCAATGTGTTTTGMGAGAGTATACATATATACAGAACAAAATCTTTTCTCTAAGGGGTGGACTTCTGTGTATTTAACTTTACATATATTTAAGATGACAGTCTAGGTAAAGGGTTTAAGAGCCATGAATCCATTAGAGTTGGTCAGCTACAGACGAGACTCCTTCACTACCGAAGAATTAATCTATAAAATCCGCTATCCATAATGACCGGATATTCGATGATTATATGAAGCTATGCAAACCCGAAGCTCTGTGTTGGTGTGTGAGTTCCAAATCAGAAGGTGAATCAGAGAGAGAAGCACCCAGTCTTCTCAAAACCAAGAACACTCCCACACCTTCTGTGGAACAAAGGACTCTTGAAACTCAACCAACCTTTCTGTAAGGTTCAGTATTAACAAAATAGGACAAAATATTACTTCAGTAGCATTCCAAGACGATGCAGATTACTGCAGCATACTGACTTGCGGTCAAAGGTTTTCATCTCATGTGAGTGATCTGGCAGTAGTCTCTCAATAAAACCAAAATTTCTTTTGAGTCACATATTCTTAAATTTAGCTTTGTAATTTGTTTCAAAGGCACAGAGAACACTGCTACTAGTTTAACCACTATATTAGATTTGGTGCTTCTCTAATTTTTTAATTGCATTTCCAGAAAAGCAGCAGAAGTAAGAATTTCAGCAGACAGGCATCAAAAGAGAAATTAWGCACTGCATGTCTGGAAGAAGGATCTAAGCTTACTTCTTTACAGTGTTCTTGTAATTTTTTTCTAACTTCCCCAGTGCAGGTATATTAACTACCTTTAAAAGATTTGGTTATATTGTGGTGAGCAATAAATTGCAGTATGTGAATATTCAGATTCTTGTCATCCAAGAAGTGTTCTGACATCTAAATGGTTGAAACAAGCTCTGAATAAACTGAAGACAATACCATTATGGCAACCTCTTCTCCTTAAGGAAGCCCTGTTTTGACAGGGTTATTCCAYCACTGCGCAGGCCAGAGGGACGCCAGCTGAAGTTATGGTGACACAAAGGGCACAACTAATTAAAATGTTTTTTGTACTTTGGATACTTTGCATATGTACTGCAGATAGACTGACTACTATCAGTGGGAACCTGTCCAGCTTCAAGAGCAGACTTTGGGTTAGAAGGCACTGGCCTGTGTAAATGACTCAGTGGGGAAATGTAAATAACTGAGCTTTCAGGACTGCTTTGTGARAGTTTTTTCAACTGCCCCAGGCTGACCTTCGCTGTTGTAAGTTAATTCTCTGGAATATGAGCAAATACAGAAATAACAGAAAAGGTACAGATCACAATAATTGAAGCTACTGCCAACCCCACAGAAATAGTAGCTAATTTTGATCAAAAAGACTTATACCAAATTGCATGTACATATACTAGTTATGAACCATAACTAGTTCAAGAATTGCTCCATTTGCAGTTTTTGAAACTCAATGAAACACTTACCAAGTTTGTTGAACCCAGCTGCATTGTAATACCACTTGCGAAGCCTGTCTATCATGCGACCACCTCCTGCAACTGAATGTGACCATCATCAGTTGCAGAGCAAGGTAAAATATGACATTCACACATTACTATGGCAGTACACAAATATTTGCTGGCYTCCTATGCCTGCAGTAATGTAACACTGAAGCAACTTTGAATTTGATCACATTGATTTGGCCTCTACCTCTCAGTATCTCAAAACTGACACTGAACAAGTAGGACTGCTCATTACCTACAACAGTTTGACCCATTTCAATAAATTTGAACATTGGGCTGCTTCAAGAGATGGAAAAATGCTGCCAATTCCTCATCAAAGACAGCAACCAAATATTTAGGCTCTGTAACACATGAGCCAAACTCATAGTGTCTACGTAAAGCAAAACCATCAGGCTTTTCAAACAATTTATCTAAACTCCCCAGCTTTCGCTATGGGTTAATGTGATTTCAAGGCCAGCATATTATTGTACTGTTAACCTTCTGCCCTCCTCTCCAGATATTTAAATGCTATTCCTTTTTCAAGGAGCTGCCAAAGTCAACCACGAAATCAACACAAAAATCTCAAAAAAAAACCCAACCAACCAAAAAAAACCCAAAAAAACCCACCAAAAACCCCCCCAAAACAACAAAAATAAAAGCCCAACCAAACTAATAAAAGAAATCCCTCCACACCACATATAGCACGCTCATCTTTCCTTAAATGTGGTTTGGGATGGCAGAGGTGCTTTTACACATAATGAAGTACCTCAACAAGCGGTCTAGAAGCCTACGAACAGCACAACACAGGCAATGCAGCACAGGCAAACTATTTTATATGACTTTTAAACCGTTTGTCTTACGAAGTCACCCCAAAAAAACCCCAGTGCTCTGTTTGATGCCGGTACGTCACTAGAGCACTGCCTCAGCAGGTTACTTAATCTTCTATCCTTTATGTCCTGACAAGGAATAACCTTAGACCAACTGTGCGCGGAGTCGATATCCGCACAGGACAGCGATCCCCGAGGTCCCTCATGAGCAGTCCACGGGTTCCTCTAGTGCTCCCGAGCACTCTCTGCGCCCAGAAAACTCCCGCTGCACGGGAGGGCCGGCGAGGAGAATCGCCCGGCGACWACGGCAGCGCCACTAGCTGTCCCCGTCAAGGGCACACGGTGCACACCGTCTCTCCGGCCCACCTCTCCCCGTTCGGCGCGGGCCGTGGCGTGCCCAGCGCTGCGGGCGGCTCGGTGAGGGTATGGGTGAGGGTACGGGTATGGGTAGGGGCCCGGCCCCCTGCGCGCCCCCAGGCCCCGCYGCCTCACCAGATGCCCTCGCCGCCATCTTGACCTCGGCGCAGCGCGGCCTCCTGGGTAACGGCGGGGCGGGGCGGGGCGGGGCCGCCAATGCGGTGCCGGCGCATGCGCCCTGGGGGGCGGGGGAGCGGGTATAGGCGGCTATATTATTAAATAATAATAATAAAAAAATTTAGTTTTGTGAAGCACAGCAAGCRAAGCACCAACCGGTCACGGCAAGAAGCAGAAATCTATGTGTGCTCAGGTATTGCAGCCGCCAGGTGAGCGGCTGGGTCCCGATGCTCAGAGCGCTGCCTTTCCCCAGCCRTTCCTTCAGGWACGGACCACTGAAAGAAACAAAATGCGGTGCTGGACGTAGCCCAGAAATGTGAAGCAGGCAAGCAGGCAAGGCCGTCGGCAATTTCAACCCTGACCCCTCCAGWAAGGTTGGGAATTCTAGGCCAAACATTTCTTGTAAAGATTTGTTTTGTTTGTTGTTTTTTTTTTTAATCCTAAAACCATAACTGGCATTTGGCATGATCCTCGAACAGTTCTTCTATCTTCTTTTCCCTTCTTTTAGCACACCCCTTAAATGTTTAGCTTCCATTCTTCATCRTGTTTCTGGGAAGCTATTTTGGCAGAACCTTATACCTTTAACATTTAAAAAAAACTGGTTTAGCTCTGGCAGCAATCATTTTTACATTAAAAAATACTAAAGSAATTTAATACTCAAAGTTTGAGACATTCAAAACATACACACTCTAAAATAACTTCTATTACATGGTTTATCATATGGTAATACATAATAATAAGGCTAGTGGAGCAAATCTGCAAAAATTAATTCAAACTTTATAAACCCACATACTTTGTATTAACATTTTTGCTATAAATTTTATTTTTACAAGATTGTTTGAAGATTACAGTTTGTTATTAGCATTTAATACAGTCAAAAATCCAAGTAAGAATATTGRTCTTGGATACTTTTATTTAACAGGAAGAAATGGGTGAAAGTGCTTAGCCATCACATTTCAACCACCATGAAATGTGTTATAGCTCTCCACTAAGAACAGTCTGTTTACCAGAAGAGTTCAAACTATCGTCCCAGGCCAATAAGAAACAGGAGAAAAAAGATGAGAGAGCATCTCAGATATATATTGCAGACAATGAATGTGGTTTTTCAATTTCAAGCACTTCTTTTTCAAATTTTTAATTTGGTTAAGAATTTATCCAAAGTCATAATCCAGAGATTACTACTACTATGCTCATTCTTTAAATGTCGCTTTAACCTTACTTTATTTCCCACATATTGGTATAATTGAATCTTTTGAATTTTATTCTGCTGTGTGCATAAAAATGGCTAATTTTAGCGTCAACAATGAGGTTTTAAAACATCAGGGCTTTTTTTTATTAAATAAGGTTAAATCCAAATTAAAACATCTGGATTTCAGTTTCCTGAGAAGTTTTTAATCAAGGAATGGAAACTTCTAAACAATATCAGGCAGTTTGCATGTGGATTTAGGGAGCTCCTTCATTTTTTCCAAATACACTGTGAAGCAATTGATAATTCCATATTAACATGCTTTGTTTAATGATTAGGTATTTTTCCTATTCCCATGATACCCAATGACAGCATTTACTTTAGCTTTTACAACTGAACAACTTTATCTCCTTAATATATCCTACAGCCTCTTTTCATAGGGTTACCTGTATAGTTAAGCCACACGTATCTCATTGATATGGGGGGCAGAACTGAACAAAGGGAAGAGAAAAGTAACTAAAATGATGTCTTCCTAGAATTTGGGGATGCTAAGAGTTCTATTTTCTTTCTACAATTTGCCTAAATTCAGTTTGCTGGGGTTGTTTGGTTTTTTTTGACCAGCTTTTGGGATACTAATTTCAGCAGCCAGCTTCACAAGGAAACACCTTTGTAGCCTACTGAAAGAATACCTTTCTGTAGGAGGAGCTTCACATAGATAATGGTGTGATTCTCTCTACCATACAAGGAAAATAATAACATTAGTACCTCAAGCAGGTAAACACAACTCTACTTCACACTACTACACTATCTTGCTATTTTAACTTTTTGGGAAGAGACTGAAAGGAGAAGGCAACATAGGGCAAGACAGGGAATAAGTCACTAGCCAGTTTTCCTGCCTCCCAAAACTCTGCCATTATAAAAAAAAAAAAAAAATTCCATTTGAATTTATCTCTCTGCTTGTGTGCTGCATCATCCACTTTAAATTAAGTTAGTGATTAATTACAAGGCTTGCATTATTAGCAATCAAAATATTCACTCAAACCTTCTGAATATATTTTTAAGTTATTACAAATATTACCGTGAGGTTTGAAATCCAACACATTTTATAAACAATGACTTCTTAGACCAGTAATTTAAAAAGTTAAGAGACCATAAAGGGGAATAGTTTTATAAAGTATGTTTATTTCCTAACTTTACTCCATGATTTTTTTTACATGTGTTATAAATTAAAGTGTTTTTAAGAAATTTTCAAAGTCCTGCATAGAAGCTTTAGCAATCTCTGTACAAAACACCTCATCAGGCAAGGATACCAGCTGATCCAGAGAGACGTAACTGGGTTGTGCTGGGTCATACTGGGCTCTTCCCAAGAATGCAAGAAACATATGCCTCTCTCTGATTCGTAACAGCTTTGAGTTGAAAACCTAAGAAAGAAAAAAGGGAAGAATTTTTTAGGTTGTCTAAATTTCCGACTGAGGCATCAAAAATAAGAGCCTTTTTTAGACAAACTGAAGATCTAGGCAGAAAAATAATATGCTTATTTGCCTTTAATTTATGTCAAAGACCAGGTAGCTTACATTTATATATATATTATCTAAACTCTAAAATACTTCAAAACAATATGCTGACGTACATATCAGAAAACAGGCAGTGATACAAAAAACCTAGGGTGCTTGAGAGTTGTTTCAGTATAACAACTATGTTACTTTTGCATAATCACAGCCAAGAAAGTGGAGAGAGATATTCAGAAATAGGGAGCCTTTTCCCTGTAGCATCAGACACATTCAAATGAGCGTTGTTACAAGGAAGCAATTAAGAAGTGACCACATGGCATAATGCAAACAAACAAATGGCACAATGGCAAGGGCAAAGGTGAGTGGGTGTGACTCCTGTCTTCTGCTGCACAGCAATGCTTAACTTTGAAGATACCTGCCACAAAAAAAAAAAAATCTAGACAGTCAAAGGTGAGAACAGTGACAGAGGAAACACGGAAGAAATCAGCAGAACATCTAAAAAGAGACGAAGTGGGGAAGACAAGATGCACAGTTAAGTCTTAAAAGCGAAATTCTAACTTCATTTCTAAGCAGTACAACTGAATAGAGAGAGATGCTATGGAGGAGATAATGATGAAAATGTGATTGCTACAGCAAGCAGAGATTTTACTAAAACAGAGACTACACTGATTTTACTAAAAAAGAGACTACACTAAAAGAAGAATTCCATGAGGAAGCAAACTAACTTGAACAAGGAGGGAAAAACAGAAGTACTGTTCCTCCTCTGCCTTCCTTGAATTTTAAGAGGCAGTCAGAAGACAGGAGGAAAAAACCACTTAACCACCATTTATGGAGTCAGCTCACGAAAAGAATGGTTACAAGAGCAGCTGCAACAACAGAGAGAATTTGACCCAAAAAAAAAAAAAATCCTGTATACTTCCTATTGTCAACATTACTGTCATTCAAGATAGAAGCAAGCACAGATGGAGACAAATACACATTTGTGAAGGCACAAGTTTAAGGCCCAACCAAACACAGACTGATGTGCACTACCTGAATCCTGGAACTCATAGTTTTTGAGGGTGAAAGGGAAGAACAAGAAGAGAGGGAGTGACTGTGCCAAGAACAAGGAACAGAAGAAAATCTCCTTTTACTCTTCCCAACAAAATGAAGAAAAATAATGAGGTGAACCACCACAAAGCCAATAATAAGACAACTGAGAAGGAAGTGAGCAAAACTTGGTCACTTAGAGATCAAGGAGAGTAAAGTGACATAGATAACTAAGACGCTTGCTGTAATGCTCAAATAAAGTTATATTAAATAGCAAGATAATCAAAATCCTGGAGTAGTTTTATTCCCCCATATAAACTTTGGCTTTCTAGCCACTTAGATTCTCTACTAGACTTGATTTAGCAAGAAAATTACTGCTGTTCAGGAGCTATAATTTATGCTTTCAGTTTTACCTTGTAAGAAGACAGTGAATCTGCATGTCAGCATTGAATGAAGTGACTAACACTTTCAGCTTTTAATTGGTGAGGAAATAACAGTAACGAGGAGGTAGGAAAAAAACCCAAAATAGTAATCAAGAAATTAATCTATATTCAATCCTGAGGTGTTATAGCAATTGCTGCAGCAATACGAAGACCAAAAAATCTCTAAAGCTTATTTTTTAAGTAGACAAACCTGAAAAATATTTATACATACATATATATATGTATATAAAATGTTATCTAATGAACAGATCTTCTGCTTATCTGTCTTTTGTGTCTCTTAGGTAAGATTTCAGGACAAGCAAACCCCTAGACAGGCAGTAATCTTTCTTTCAGTAATGAATACGGAAGAGAAGAGCATGACTACCTCTGTTGAAAACATAAAAATTCACAWGAGTGGGGGTAGTGATATCACATGGGCTAAGGGGTTTTAAAAAASTAATACTTCCACATTGAAATCCTCAATCGTTTCTGGATTGCTAATAAAAAAGTTTTCCCAATTAGAGTAAAAGCTGCAGGCTAGTTGAAGAATTCACATATATCCTGCACTCAGCAAGGTTCCACCCTCAGCACATTAGTGAAGTGGCTGTGACATGAGCACCTACAATTTATTCCCAGATTAACAGCTCACCTGAGGAAAGCGAGTAAGCATGTGGTGGGGAATGCCCATTATGTTGTGTAAGTAGTCAAATGTCTGTTTGAGTCTCTTTTTACTTGCAGTTAAAATTTTGGGAGTTTTACACACTATCTGTTGAATTTCATTGCGTTGAAAACCAAGTTCAATTTGACAAACCTGCAAAAGAGAACAATTTTATCTTCACAACGCAGCTACAACAAACTTAGCTTATTTTAATGTGCCACTGAAACAAACTAATGCTAAATTCTTCTTCCCTTAGTCACACAGCAACAAGAATGCAAACCACTATATCTGCCACTCCAGTTCTTCTCAAGTCAAACAATGCAAATTATTTATCATTCTGAATTAAAGTGTAATTTGTTTGTAGAATAACCCCAAAATAAAGATGATTTCTGTGAATGTTATGTATTTTTCAGCTTGTCTGAGATATGAATAAAAAACCCGAGTCTCCATGTGTATGGCAGTTACAAGCATAAAAATTCTCCCATAAGAGTCCTTTATAATTTTCAATACCAAACCTTAAAGAGACTTTCTTCTTGTGGAGCTGTTGAGCTCTCTAAAACACAGCAATCAAATAACTAGCACCTATTATTGCTAGTGTGTTACCACTTTTTCTAATGTATCTAAGTTACATTTTTTATAACAGGGAGTATAATTTCTATGGTCTTCAATTTAAGACTGCTGAACCTGAAAGAGATGTATAGAATATGTGGTATATTCAATTTATTCTACAATTCATTAATGTCTAAAATAATATTTCTTTTTCAGAGACTGTCTTGACTTCAATTATGATTTCCCAAAAGGAAAACACAACACATTTTTTCAATAAAACCATAAGCACTCCTCCCAAAGTGCAGAATGGCAAGCAATTCATTGAGTTGTTGAGAAAGAATTCAGCATACAAGAGTGTCTGTTAACTCAGTCATTTTTTCTATCCTCCAGTGACACTTAGAAGCAGCTTGTTTTCAGTAATGAAGAGGGTGTGCTTGCCAGTCAACATAACCAGACTTTCATATCAAACCAAGGTACTTCAATTAGCAAAAGGTGGTGGTTTTGTTTGTACAATTTGATGTGCCAGGATTGCAGTTCTTTTCCAGAACTGCTTGTCAAATATAAAGGGCAGGGCTTAGAATCTGGGTTTTGAATTTACCTTAGGACTTACAGATCCTTACAGGGAATTGTTTCTAGAGGCAATTACAAAGAAAAACATCAGGTCTTTCAGGAAAAGGAAGAAAAAATCTCCTGATTTTTCCTTTTCTGTTTAACAAATATTTGTGTACCACACAAAAATACCAATCAACTAATACAGTATTCAAGTATGAAATGAAGTGTTTGCACATTAGTGGTATCTTCCATGGACCTGAGTTGGCAGGGGTAACTTCCTGCATCAAGATACACAACCTGAGTTAAGACCCCATGTTAAATCACTACAGATATAAAGCTGGGCCTCCTGTAGAGGTAACTGTGGCAAGAATCTTGAGCCTTTTATCTTTTATTCTGTGAYGTGGAACAGCTCCCTCTTGACACAATCAGYGAGTGTAAGTTGCTTTGACTGCACTCAGTTTGACAGCAAACATTTAAAAATCTGTAATTTKCTAGGCCACATATGCTAATATCCTTACTGTGGGACCCTCAGCAATACTGAACAAAGTATGCATTATTCCTACAATGGTCAGTGGTAATGTAAGTTTTCATGTTTTACCCCATCAGTGACTCTCTAATCATCTTTGATGAAACCCTCAGAGGATGGAATGAGCCATCCCTCAGCTCATTTAGTCCATGACTGGTATCTTATAATAGTCAGTATAAGTTACTGTACTTGTTTCTAAATAACAGTCCATCAAAATGGSGAAGCTGCTGATCACTTCTGAACTGTTGGCACATAATTTCACTTTTCCAGTACTGTCCTCCCACCACCAGTTTAGGACATACAGGTCTGAACAGACTGAGTCCAACCTCCTCAAATTTTTGAGCTTTTAAGAATTAGTAGATTCCAAAAGTGAGGACCTAAAAATCCCTCCTCTCTCTCCCTCTCACACATTGCAAAAATAGATGTGCTAGCTGTCTATTTCTTGGTAGATAAAGAAGACAGTCACATAGAGCTGAAGATCTTAAAAACACATTCATTATAAAATAGCCCGTGCAAACAATGGGCGTTAAAAAGAAAGTACTATTAATTAGAACAGTGTGCTACTTTCCAGTCTCCTCCCTTACCACACACACATTTCAGATTGCAAGATTTCTWGCCTTTAATAGCTTCAGAGCAGTGAATCTGTCTGAAAATTATACATTTTGATTCATGGTCATTTGTTATAGGATAATGGAATTTCACAAATTGTTATACTACCTCATGCTGTTTGGCCTCGATGGCATTACAGCAGAATAATTAAACCAATACACAGTTACATTTTCAAAAGGGAAAGGATTCCCCATGGGTTTGAAGTTATTTACCCAACACTTGTTAATAACGACCATCTGCTATCAGACAATAGGTGTCAAATACACATTTTGGCAGACTAGTCACCTGCCAGGAGAAAAATAATCAACTGCACATTTCTTGCTCCTAGATATTTACAGACAATCCAAGTTAGCAAAAAAACATAATAATTAAGGGGGGAAAAAAAGAGTATTTTTCTACTCATAAAAAAATGTGTAACAATTTGTGTCATCATATAGCAACTTTTGGCAGGAAGGCACTACATCAGAGTAGAAGACAAAATAAGATAATGCTCCATGTGTTGGGTAAGCTTGCATGCTACAGAGGAAAGTAAGTTATTTAACAAAACCRTCAGTTATTTTATATCATCACAAAAATTATTTCATTAAATTCTTTCTGTGCACGATCCCCTCCAGGCATTTTATCTTCTGATAATTCTTAAACTATATGGATACACAATACACTTTTAATATCTATTCATAAGCTCACCTGAAGAWTTTCTTTTACAGGCTCTAATTTCCCAGTCAATAGCCTTGGAAGACGAATTACCAGATCCTTTGTCTGCAGAGAAAACACACAAAAGAAAGAGTATTACTGAAAGCTTGTTTGTAAATTTATCTGTGAAAGAAAAATCCCATATAGACTTTTTTTTTTGGGTTGGAAGTGGGATGTATTGATTTTATCTCTACAACAAAGATGAATCTGCATGAAGCAGCAGTATATTAAGATGCAAAATGTTACTGAAATATATTCTTTTGGGAAAAAAGAATTGTAAACAAGGCAGGAAGAAGTAGTAAAAGCATGTATCAAAAGGAGAAAGTATGGTCAARTCCCCAATTTTTCTTAGCCCTCAAGTTGTTTCTTCCCATCTTTTAAAAAAAGTAAACACACTACCAGATAGGAGCTATAAAAGGATATCTCAGTGGCAGTGGAGCTAATTCAGGATCTGGTTAGACCATAGTACAAGGGCAATACAAGAAATTACTCCACATTCCCTAAGGCACCTGACTACTTGTAATCYACTCTGAGTACAACACAGTGACTAAACCCTTTCCCAAGGCGATCTCTTACCTCAAACATAGAAAGGCCAGCAACAGGCACTGTAACAGCTATGACTGCTCAGCTAATAGATTCCACTTGGAATCTGACATTCATTGCAATCCCCACCTACTGCAGGACACAACTTACGCTGGCCACTTACTCCAGGGAAGTCCAGCTTCTACCTCCCCTGAAGATCCCAAAGCAGGGTGCTGAATACCCATTAAGCACGTAATGTGGTACCTACTCATGAAGCAAACCAGAGGTCACACTTGGTGAGCTGAGCATATGATTTAGCATTTATCTTGATATGATATTCACAGATTAGATGACCTTTGAAATTATGAGTTAAGTATGTTACAGTATCTTGAAGAGATGAAGAGAACTAAATAATTTTCCAGGARTTAAAAAAGCTGCTTGTTGTTTCAGTAATTAATCCAGTCTTCTGATCCACCTCAAATTATAAAACTGGACATACACATGCTTGTTTGACTATAACCTGTAAGASGTCATCTTCAGAAACTGTATTTCAGGTCCTCTGAATGTCAGGTGCCCATAACACTTCCATGGACAGTTAAAACCACATTAACCCCCTGTAACCCTCTAATGACATTACTGATGATAACACAATGTTTGTTGGTAACCTCGAAACATYTGAAGTATTCATACTGCAAGACCTTACAACTGTCACTAACAAAATACCTACAGACTTCAATCTTTACCTTTTTTACACTGAGACCAAGTTCATTTTTGAAGAAACCCAGTCTGTTATCCAGTCTTTCCACTGAAAACAACAGCAAATATGGAGCCCTTGAGACCATCTGAGCAATTTCTGACTTACCAAATTTTTTTGATTTTAGGTAAGCCACTCTAGAAAGAGAACAAAAACAAAATAAAATCCAGTGATGAAAATTTTATTGCCTCCATTTATTGAGTACTTGCTTAAATTCCTCAGTGATATCTTATAAATGGACAGATGTTCTAGCATTAACATGCAACCCTGCCAAAAATAATTAGGGTGAAATCTGCAGTTATCGTAAAAGCAAAATACCCTCCCTTCCAATTAATTAGAAGTAAAATAAACCTCAGAACAGAATGTCAATACTGAAGACAGATTTTAATTCCTTCCAGCTGTACTTAAGCAGATAACTACGCTAACCTACATTTAACTACCAGCCTGTCTCCTAGATTGCAAACACATTAATAGATCATCATAGGGTATGGACAAGAACATATATACAGGCTTTTGCTATTTTAATGAATTCCATTTCTACTGCTGAAAGAACAGAGTGCTAGATCTCATACATCCCTGTTGATGTATGGAGTAGAAATATCATACCATGATGCTATGTGTAGAGATATTGTTGAAAAAGACATTTCTATATCAGCTGAAGTTATGTTTGCCACAATAGGTTCCTTCTTTTAGTCACTGGCCTAACGAGTAAGTAACAAACATCTGGTCATCAGAAAGCAAAAGAAGTTGACAAAATTGCTGTGTGTTTTGATGTTTAACAGAGCTTGCTTGCTTGCTTTCTTTCAAAGTCAAAAGTTTTTCCAAATTTTGTTGAATTCAGTGAAAGTGAAATCCTAATTCGAGTACTGCTTGCAGTAGATGATTAGCACAGCTCCCAGAAAAAAAGGAATGAAGAGAGGAAATAGAGCACACAAAGTAAAGAGACATGATTAATCCATGTATTACCATGTGCTAAATAACTAAACTACAATTTGGAGAGGTTTCCTCTGKTTGTAGATGAGAGTTATTGCAATATGAGAAGTAGCTGCAGTCAGATCAACTTAGAGCACACAAGAATTGGTTTTATCTGGTACTAATTAAGATACTAAATGGATTGCAGAAATTTTTGCAGAAGCAGATATTCAGCAAAAAACRGGCTCTCTGTTAAACCATGTGTCATGGAGCAAAAAAAAACTATTGCCTTCCAGTCACAACTTCCCTCTTTCTGCTCCAGACAGAAGATACAAGAACAAGCTCTAGAGAACCAATTCCTGAGTGAGCCAGTAGCCCAACAGAGAAGGTAGCAGCCGAGGCTCCGGACAACAACAATGGAACTGGCACAGCTTCCAAGCATCCCAGAAACAGCTAAATAAGCAGATTAAAATTACAATATTTCATCTGTCCTGACTCCACTTGTTTTCTGTTAACAAATCATTAAGATCCACACCTGAAGCATTCCTTCCTGGAAAGGCAGAAAATAACAATCTTGCCATCCCTATTTTAAGAACTTGACTCTACAAACTAAGGTATTAAAAGAACACAACTATCCAACCTGGCCAAAATCTGAGATACATATGTGAGTGCTGGCACCAAGGTTAGCCCCCATTCTACTACAGGGGTCAGCAGTGCTATGTAGCATGTTAACAGTTTTAAGTCATCATTAACACCAGCATAAAACAAAGCATCTGGTGCAGCTGCAGTACAGACACTGATTTGCAACTGTCAAAATTGTTAGGAATTATGGAATGTTTTGACTTTTACAGTGTTTATTTGAAGTCAAATGCCAAACCTATTGAAATTTGTGTTTTGTTTCCTGGCAACATGGAATCCATAGCAATAAAACATTCCAGAGTGATGTAACCAATACCATGTCCATCTGCACCGAACTGTTTATGCAAAGGTAATACTCAGCTTTCAGAAGACAGCTATTTGAGACATACTCCCTTCTAGCCTTTACAGCACACTTTAAAGCTTGCAGGAAAGCATTCACCAGTGTCAAACTTACTGAAGAATCATACTGCAGAAAATTAAGAAGAAATCGCACTGCTCTGTTTCCACCCAGTGCCACAGGACTGTCACTGAAAATAAAATCTGAGTTCATGGAAGAGCTAGGATATTTATCACAAAAAAAAAAAAAAAACCAAAACAAAAAACAACCCTCTCTTCACAAGAACACTAGCAACTCTGATATCTAGACTCAGAATTATAGCTGGATAATTACACAGGGTCTTTATGGATATTTTTTCTGAAAGGCCACTTACTGAACAGGAGGTTAGAAGAACAGAAAGGAAAGAAGCCAGATCTATGTTATACAAGAGTCTACTCATGTGCCTGTTTCTAAAAGTACTTTCAGATTTCTGTCTTAGACAGAAATGCTACTACAGGCAAAAGCCAGGGTGACAGACTTTCTTCTCTGGAATTTTTGAATACTGGRAAATTTTGAGTTAATTAAAAAATGCATGTACATACACACGCAAGTTGTTCTGAAAAAACTATTGAATTAGGAGTAATATTACAAATAAAAGTCCATTTTAAGGACTAAGGAACAGTTTAGGGCCATACAAGTGTGAATGAACACACACATACACACACACACACACACACAAAATAGTTCATTGCAGTGTTGTGTTGAGTTTCAGCTGGACAAAGGGAAAAAAGATMACCAAAACCTCCTGTGCTATTAATGTCAACACAGAAGAGATCTGGTCTGTTTCTTGTACTGCAGAATTCTTGAGGTTTCAAATTGTGACTAAGAGTTTAATATTGTTCTACAAATTCATGTAAAGTYCCAGGGATTTAATTTTGGAATGAAAGCTGACACAAGTAAAGCAAGCAGCCCAAGAAGGCAAGCTGCTTCCTCTGTGGCAGAGAGACAGGGATGGGCAGTAAAATTTGTTAACAGTTTTCAGGTGGATCAAGCTCCTGATTTATGATACCACCACGTTAATGCCAACAGATGGGAAGGCACAAGAACACGGAGCCAGGGATTGAGTAAGAAAGGAGGCAGCAGGCAACACAAGCTCCTTCAGACAAAATYAGGCCAACTGGGAAACCAGAACTTCAAGCCAAGGGGCTTAACACCCTGCTGCTACTTGAAAGGGTTACCTGGTTTCTAAAGCTTCCAAATCTTCACGAAGGATGTATGGATTTTTGGTCAGGAATGGTCCCAGTTGATGGTCTTCTAGACCCACATCCTTAAGAAATAGAAGTATTTTTTTAATATCTTTCTCAAAATCCAAGGTCAGTAAGAGCTGACCTGCCTTTTGACGTTTCTCCACTTGGGATAAGTCAACTCCTACAAAAAACAAAATTAGAAAGAGTTTTAATTAAATACAGACCCTACTTTCTATAACTGTTTCACAAAAGCGTGTGGSAATTTATAGGACTACTCAGTTTTTTGCACTAACACAGTATACTTTAATTGCTCTACACAGCAAGGTCACAACACCTTGTATATTGTGGAAAAACTCCAGATAAAATAAGCAGTCATTTTAGAAGCTTTTGCTGAGTTTATTTTTTGAAGGAAGACATTTGCAGTGAATCCTGTGTGTGCTACATGTAGAGATCTACTTTTGTTGCACAGAATTATGTGTGCATGAAATTTCCAAATCCATTATGAAAGTGAAGGGGACCATTTTGCAGTGAAGTGCCTTTGTATACTGACTCACACACATTTGTTACCATATGGCAACAGATTTCCCCCTCTCAGTTATTGATTTCTCCAACCTCTTTCTTGTCTTCCTTGCATGTTTGTTTGGGCAACAAGGTGGTCRGCAGCCTTGAACTCAGCTATCTCCATAATCCAAGTGGTTTTTGATGAGAAGGTTTTCTTCAATCCCTTCCCACTTGCCTCTCCAGTTTGCTGTGTCTCCCTTCGAAGATTATGCACAGCAACCATTCTCTTTTCTTCCTTCCAAGGATGCAGAGCTGCAAATTCTTTTGCAGCAAATTAAAGCTCAAAAGAAGGAAGACCAATTAAGTTACACAAAGTGCTCCCCACCTCCTGAAGCTGTGGGAGATGCCTCCTTCTAGCAGCCACAGCACYAAGGGACTAACACCAGCCAGCTTTGCTTCCCACTGGTATGGCACTGTAACACAGTCCCCTCTCTACTTCCATTTACCCTGAATAACATTCTGTTRCTTTTTGCCACTGGTCACTGCTCCCATTTTTGAGTTTACAAGGTAACCAGTAAGTGCAAAGCAAAAATTACAGGATCTCCAAAGCTCCAGTCACAAGCAGAACACACAAGCAAAATCACACATACCTAGGTGGACAAGTTTGGCAAGGGTTTCTGAGTGATCAACATAATCTCGGAGTGTGGAAGACTGAAGGGGGAGAAGTGGTTCTGCAATGATCTGTACAGCWTCTTCCTCAGAAATCTCTTCCAAAGCAGATGAAGGTGGGATGTCATCCCAGTCTAAGAAACAAATATAGAAAACCCAAATGCATTTTGTGAAAGACAGAGCTGCTCCCACCAAATACTATACAGATCTCTTAAAATCCATTTCAAAATACAGGAACACTGTGCACGTAATGAACAGCCAAACTATTATTTGAAAACATAAAAACATAGACTGTACTCACAGTTTGTGTCTCTATTCCATCTCCTGGTCACTGCCCATCAACTTCTACTCATATGGCCAAATCTGAGCACAGTACCCAGCAAGCCTGCCTTCAGTCTGCTGCCTCGACCCCTCCAGACAACAGATCACTTGCTGGAAAAGGATTGTCTTTCATGTCTTCACGAATGCATTCTTGCCAGATCATAGCCAGATAAAAGGCTACTACAAAGATTATTTTTCATCATCTGACAAGCCCTCTGCTTTGTGGCTCTCCTGAATCTGATGCCTGAAATGCAACTGTTTTAACTTTCAATGTATTTCATAGCCAACTCCAATCAAGCTATCATGTCTTGTACATTACAGAAAGGCAGCTGACTGCCACTATCTCTAATAGCAAAAGGACTCATGTCCTACTCACTAAGGTCTCAAAGAGAACATCATTATGCTTGTTTCCTCTTAAGTGCTCCAAGCCACAGTATGCAAGTGTCTTTTAAAATATATTTCTCTAAACAGATCTATTTTTCCACTGACAGGAGCTCACCGCAGCAAGATTAAGATTACTGTTTGCAGGCTGGCTGCTAGCATCCACCTCAATCATCAGTCTGATTACTGATCAGATGCCCTAATGATAAACTCTTCAGGAAAAGAGATTTTCTGTGCCCTGTACCTTTGCATAATGGCTTCCTAGAGACCAGGGTAACATTCTTCCATGTCAAGAAAACAAAGGCACACCAGAACTACTAAGACAGATTCCAAAATAATTAGGATGTTCCTAATGTACTAGGAAGAGTTGCACAGACTAGCTCGATAGCTGTCTTGTCACTTTTTCTCACAGCCTCAGAAACGAAAGCACAGTAAAATCTTTTCAGCAACGTTTACACATTAAACAGGAACTCTCTAGGAATCTATAGGAATATCAAGTGTTTTCTTTCAACTTGATGAGGACCAAACCAAGATATAATAAGGTCCATTCCAGAAGAGTGCATATCTTTTATTGCCACTTTAAGGTCYTTATATTTCCTATTGCAAATCATACTTCAAGTTAACCAAAACCCCCAAAAGTTACCAATTATGTTTATTCTATTATATCGACTGTTAACTGCCCAAAATGCTACACACGCTCTCTCCAGTCAGTCTGCTGGCAGATAAAAATCTGGTATGTGGGTAAACCATATTGCAGGTACAGATACACACAAGCTCACTGACCCATCATTCTAGTGCAGCACTGTTTCAGAACCAGCTGCAGCCACACATCTCTGCTGCAGCCCTGAGACACCCCAAAAAATAAGCTCTGTACAATTCAAGTTGGCTGAGTTCAAAGCAGAATCTGAACTTAGAAGGCTGCTTAGTGATTCAGAGCAGGTTTCCTCAGCACACCCAAAGTATTTTGAAAGGACGGAAATTTTATAACCCTCGTTTAAACATAARAGTAGGAAAAAAGTGAATACATTTCCGCAGGGCAGCAACACCCGGGCAACGTTGCATTTATCTCCTTTCATCTCCCTTCCCCAGAAGACAGTCGGACAAGCATTTCTCAGCAGGGCAGCGCTTAAGGAGGCTTCACACTGCTGCCTCCTGTTGTTCATCCTTGATCACACAAATAGCCGTGCTGTGTGAGCTGCTTCAGGCGTGGAATCTCCCAGCCTCGCTCAAAAAAGAAACAAAACCCACCAAAACTCAAAAAAAACCTTCAAACCAAAACCCTTTAGATTCTATTAGCRCATCTGTGAGGAAAAGACAAACGCTCAGCTGATGCAGATAGGGTTATGAAAAGTCCTTCAAACTGCAGCTCTATATGTACATATCTACCCAAAACATTTTAACTTTATCTCGCTTTAAAGGTATTCTTTGTATGCTACATAAATATATGAATTAACTATTAACTACGGAGCTAAAAAGAAGTGAAAGTCAAGAACTCCAGATACGTATTTTAGAGAAACAGGACAAAAAAGGAGAGCCCAGCTGACATTAAACAACATACTGAAAACGTAATTTAAAGACTCGGGAGAAATGGTACCCCTTAAAGCTTCTTACCTTCRTCCAGTATTTTTGCATTCAGATCAGGTAATATTTCTGCCTTTGCTTGCTCCTGTGGTACTGAAGGCAAGTGACTTKCGGGAGACGAGAAGGATCCATCCTTGGCGCTGTCGGGCGGGGAAGAGCTTCTTAGAGACACACGCCTGTACGCCTGCAGTCTCCACACAACCTCCTTTCCAGCGGGCAGCACAACCAGAGGGGCAAACTCAGGGCAGGCCTGTGCCGTGCTGCCGCGACTCCTCAGCCTCCGAGGAAACGCAACAGCACGGGCCGCGYTCAGCAGGCAACACCAGCGGGAGGGCTGCCGAGCCCACACAGCCATCATCCGCCTCAGCACAGCATCCTACGGGAACAGAAAGGGTGCGGAGTGACAGAGGCGCTGCCTGCCTCGCCGTAGAGCCGGCAGCGTGAATCCCCTGCGCGTTACAGCAATTCCTTACTACAAGGCACCAAGTAGATGCCTTAAGGCTGTAAACGCGTGACAAATGGAGGAGACCGCTCTGAAGGCCATCGCCCGCCGCTCTGTACAACAGCCGTTCTTTTGGGAGCACGGGAGAAGCCCAGCAGGACCTAAACCCTCCCGGGGGGACGGGACCCTCCGCGTAAAGCAGTCACCGCACACACGCCACAGGGTGAACAGACTAAGTTAGGCCGCGCTGGATGGGCCGCGCTGGCCGCCCCTCGCAGGGCTCCCCTGCCAGCGCTCCCCAGGCCGGCAGCCGCTGCGCGCAGCCTGCGGGRAARGGGGCAGCACCTCCGGRCCCAGCACGACCAGAACCCACCACSGCCACCTCACCTGCGGCGCACGGCGCGGTGCGGCCCGGCCCACGTGTGTGCCCCGCTCCCCGGCCCAGCCTGGGCGGCACCATTCTGGAGGAAACGGGGGGAGGAAACAGGCGACAGCCTCCTTCGCTCCGCTAGTTCTAAGGGAGCCGTGTCGTCCCGCCTCCCCCCCTCCCGCTCTCCGTTGCTCCCTCCCTGGTCGCGTGGGCGCGGCAGGGCGAGCTCCGCCCCTCGGCGCGGCGGGCGCGGCGCTGCCCCGCTCGGCTGCGCTCGGCGGGACGCGGCGCGGGCGGGCTGGCGGCCGGCGTTGGTTCGGGCAGCGCCGCTCCGCGGAATCAGAGCTGCGCTGAGACGAGGGGAGAGAGCGGGCGAGATGGCGTCGTGTGTGGGGAGCCGGACTCTGAGCAAGGACGAYGTAAACTACCGCCTGCACTTCCGCATGATCAACGAGCAGCAGGTGGAGGACATCACGCTAGAGTTCTTTTACCGGCCGCACACCATCACCCTCCTCAGCTTCACCATCCTCAGCCTGATGGCCTTCGCCTTCACCAGGTGCGTGGCCGCCGCGAGGAGCTCCTGCTCCGGCCCCGCCCCTGGTGCCGGCAGCCCCGAGGYGCCGGGGATTCCCGGGCAGGGAATGGGGAGGGTCCGTGATTCCCGGGCGAGCAGGGGCAGCGCGGCTCCTCCTGGCCGGGCCGTGCCCGCCGTGTGCTGCCCGGGCCGGTGTTGCAGTGCCGGGCGCCCGAGCCCCTGCTCGGCAGGCCCGTGTTGGAGAGCGGGCACCCTCCCCTCTCCAGGGCGGTTATCATCCCCACTGCGTTTACTGGGAGCTTGTTAATCGTTTTGAGCATCTGTGGAAGTCTCTATTAAAATGCTTGTTTAGAGGAGTTGCCAAAAAAGGGCTTTATTAGGCTATCAAGCAGCCCCGCAGTGACATCACTCCAGTAGATAATTTACCAAGCGTACMGTGGACGGGAGTGACTGTTCTGTGGCATCGCTTCTACACCCCGCCCGGTCTGTGGCCAGTCACTGGGTGGCTCAGGCCCTGGCACGGATGGCCTCAGCCACATCCTTGGTGCACCTCTGGAAAGGCTCTGTGGGCATAGCCCCTGCAGGCATTCGTGGCAATACTGCTAGGAATAGACAGGCTTTCTCGGGAGCCTAACTTGAAAGCTAAGGGTATAGCGGTGGAGATYTGATGGGTATCTTGCATGTTCTTTGAAATTGTGCATACTTTTCATTGCCTCTTATTGGATGTGAAAATGATTGCATACTCCACCTTTAGCCTAAATTATGTGGTCTGTAGGCAGTGATTCCTGAGAGGTTTTGGCTAGGTAGTGCAGTGTGTTTTRGGCTCATTTAAACTTTTGTGACGTTGTGTGTACACAGTTACAGATTTTAATGGTCTTGTGGCTTATACTCTTATKGTGGTGAATTCCCCACTTAAAAGTGACCTTTAAACATTCATTTATGACAACTCTCCATTGTACCTAAGAAAGTCATTGTCACTAGGCCTGATCCGCAGTTCAGTGTGTAATCTTATATTTTATTCTAAGAATCAAAATGTATCATTTCATCAGCTGTGAAATAATGGCCAAGCCTGGTTTGRGTTGAGCCAGAAGCATAAGGAAAARTTAAATAGTATAACTACAAGTAAGTCTGACGTGTGCCTTTTCRTGTTTCAACATGTATATGGCCCCAAGGAAGATACTTTTGGTGAGCACATCCATTGTTTTACTTAGATCCCTTCTTAACTCCAAAATCAGAAACGTATTTCTGTGCTCTGCTGCAATGTTTAATTACAGACCTTTGCTACAAGTGCTCCTCATGTCCTCATCCCCTTACCTGATCACTTTTCTCCCTGAAGGGCTAATGTAGGTCAAAGCTGTGAGTCACTGAGAGATTCTCATTACARTGTCATTCTGAAGGTTTAATGGAACTGATTGCTCACCTTTGGGCAAGGAATTTTGCCATTAGTTCTTTCAAGCAGAGGATGAGCCAAGAAGCAATTTCAGGACTAATAATTTCAAACCCTAATAAAATTGATTCACTTCTGGGATATTTGTTTGCATTTTTCCAAGAGCATCTCTGGTTTATCTTTCCATTTGTTTTGCTAGCTTTCTAACTGGCTTCTTCAGTTTCTTCCCTCTGCCTGACTTCCTGTGTTTGAATACCAATTGACTTCTCTGTAACTCTTCTCTATCTCTCCTCTTCTCAGGTTGTGGAAGATACTCTGATTTTACTTTCTCCCCTCTCCCCCTTCTACTATTTCCAACTATTGTAGGAGTTTCATAAATCTCCTGAGTGACATCAGAGTGCTGCCTCTGTGCCTTATTTGGGACACTATCCAAATCATCTTTGTGAAACGGGGGAGAGGAGATACTTCCCCACATGCTTTTATAGTCTGTGCTCCCAGGTCTGATCTTCCAGTTTATTGCATTGAGTCTGTGCTGACTGTTCATTTTTCCACTTCCTGGGCACAAGGTGCTGTAGACTTCCCAGTAAGGTGTCACAAGTGAGGCTTTGCTTCCCCTATGCTGTCAGTTGTTCCATAGCTCTCCCAGTCAGTTTGTTAAGTGGGGGGTTTTCTATGATATGTKCATGCTGATACTGTGAAGTAGAATTTATTTTTTCAGGAACTTCATSATAGACAGAGGAAATTCTGGTTCCCTTAAAGTCTTTCTTGTCTCTTCTGTAAYTGTTTTGTGTCAGAAGTACATGGAGGGTTCTGAGAAACTTAGARAATGCTTTTCCCTTGTATGCAGTAAACCATACATAACATGCAGTCCTTCCTAGGATCACTGAGAGCAGCTGATACTGTCTTTGAGSTAACAGATAAGGGTGAAACTGAACTTCAGCTATCAGTAATCTTCAGGTATGATGATGGTAATAATAATAATAATCCAGAAGAAAAAACGTGTGTTTAATTTTTCTGTGTTAAAGTGGGGAATAGAGGGTATTCTGTTAATTCCTTCTAGTGCTCTTGACAATGGCTGCAGCTTCCYTGGTTGTTTCCTGCTGAATGAGCCAGATACAGGCTTCTCTGCTTCCATCCTTCTCCCTTGGGACAGAGGTGTGGAGTGTCTGTAGCTTTTTCCCTGTCTTCTTCCACCCTAGATAGAGGTGTGGCCTTCTCTGAGCCCAGAGGCAGCTAGCAGGAGTGAGTGCTGGAGGGGATATTTTGTGGGACACAGCAATAGGACTGAGGATGGTGACAGACTARTAGCCTCTGGTATGAAGTTGCAGGGGTTTGTGGAAGCAGGAGTAAGACCTGTGAGGATATAGGGCTTTTGTCTTCTATGTCCCTTGATCAACAGAGTTGATTAAACTGGATTATTGTGTATTYAATAATGGTTTGGTTAAGTTTATTGAAGTTTTTTTTTTCTCCYTCTCCCACATTCCAAATTTAGTGTCCTAGCTATTTTTTCCTCCACTGAGTAGCCTCTTTATTTTTTTTTTCTTTTTGGTGATGTAATAACTTTCTAGTTGCTGTTTTTGTAATGTGCTCTGAAGGAGAACAGGAGAGAGATAATGATTATGCAGTTATTATGCACTTCATTTTTTATTGTTTCTTCTCTAAAAAGTCATGGAATTGAAAAATGCTGTGGTAAAGTGGGTTAAAATTGAGAGAATTTTCATCTGTCCTCCCACRCAAGCATTTGAAACCTTGGTTTTGCTGCATGAATGCTTGTATTTCAAAATCAGAGTCAACATTTCTGGGGCTAAATGAGGAGATGATTTAGCGCATTTTCCCAATTGCAGCTTATTGTGATTGCATCTTTCCCTTTGGCATTCCTCAAAGTAGTTCTTCCAGGTAAACAGTGTAATTCTTATTCTCTACTAGTGTACAGCAGCAGGTTTCTTGCTCCCACCTGTTCTTACCTGCTTCTGGCAAGAAGATTGGATGTCTGTCCCTTATGTCTGCAAGCCAAAATTAAATGTCTTGCCACTCACTTGAAATGAAATGCAGCAATTAAGTGATGTGATTGCAATGTCTTTCACTTCTTTCCTGGCCATGATGAATTGATGTGATGCAACTCTAGTTATTTGTTTTATCTTAAATTWAAAAAAAAATTGCATCCTCTTGGTGGCAGCTGTGACACCACATCCCTGTGTGTTATTTGCAGATGTTGAAAGAGGGATATGGTTTTGCTGTCTGAGCCATCAGTGCCTGAGGCTCTGGTTAGGAAGCACACTGGAATGCGTAAGGATTTGGGTTTGCCTAGGGAGATCAAGTGCTGGAGCTTGGGGTTTATAGCTGGTGTAAAGTGTCAGCCTGTGCAGAATGGCTGCTGGAAAATGGCTGGTAAAGCTGGACTTGGCTGGTTTTAAAAAAATGGTGTGTGGAGTCCCTAAAGCCTGCACAGAAACCGCTCGTGTTTAATGCTCTTTTTCCTACTGTACAGTTAAACTGACTCAGTGCTTAAATACCTCACAGTGATGAAAGCCTGCTGTGGAGCTCTTAAGGTTCAGTTTTGAAGAAAAAGGAAATAATTTGGCTAAGTAAGAAATATTTTGTGACTGCAGCAAGTACTAATTTGGAGAGCTTTTATGCTGTCATGGATTCTTTACTGAACCATTCAGAAATATGCCACATGCTCTGCCAGGAAGAGCTTTATACCTTTACAGTTTTCTGGGAAGTTTTTGTTACCACGTTGGGAATAAGTAAAGGAATACACCAAAATGGATAAACTGATCCTAAGTACATGAAAATTTCCCAGGTAGTAAAACTTCAACTTCATTTGTAGTGGGTGATACATTATGAAATATTGGCTGAAGCTTGTTTCTGTTTGTATTACTTAAGTACCCCAGAAGCTGTCTTGCTGGTTAGAGGACTTGGGTGAGGGTTGTTTTATGTTGCTACCATATTCTACCTGCCTGAGAAGTAAGAGCTTTGTCAAGTTTTGCCTTGGCATTCCAAACTGAATTCTTAGGTCTCTGTTGTGGCCATAATATGACAGTAGCACAAATAATACTTGATATTATAGTCAGAGCTTTGGCTTAATAGATCTAAAAGTAAGTTGATATTTTTCCTGGGATATTTTAAGTTGTGCTGTGTCTGTTACATGCTCTGARCCAAATATTCATTATTTCTAAAGACTGATTGTAATCATTATTTATGCCCGCATCTCAGGCATTCAGCTTTGGGGACAGGCAAAGGAAAGTGAAGGGTATTGCAAGTAGCACCAAAACAGCAGAGGAAAACCTAGGAATTGCATCCAGTCTTCCAGAGGTTTCAGTTTAGGTCTGTTTGCTGTGTAAAAGTACTTCTGATGATATTTCTATAAACATTAAAGCAGGATTTTTTTTCTCACGTTACATTAAATTTAGTCATTACTTCTACACTGACTTSGAACAATGCTAGTGGCCTGCATGTGTTTATTAGATATTTAACCCTCTTGTAAGAAAGGGACACGCRGAAGTGTAGTGTGAAAATCATTCAGTGAAATTACTCTTAACTTATTACATAATGAGCATTCWTATTTCTTATTCTTAATTTCCATGTATTCTTTATTTAAATAATATATCTTGGGAGCCTTTTGACTTCATCCTTATAATGTACTTTAACACTGTGTTGTCTGTCCCTTTAGGGATGATTCTGTACCAGAGGATAATATTTGGAGGGGTATACTCTCTGTGATTTTCTTCTTTCTAATCATCAGTGTTCTAGCTTTTCCTAATGGTGAGTAAGGTTTATACAGTTTATACTTAATGTTTTTAGATGTGTATTTCTCTTTATTGCCACTATATTTACTTTGATTTTTATTTAAATACCAATTTTCAGTGTATTTTTTCTTTACTCTTTTGAATTCCTGTGTATTAAAGAACAGTCTAAAAATTGGGTTGTAGGCATACTGAGCAGAGATAAGTGTTATTTATGGCTTATTATTTATAGTCTGTATTTAACAAGGAAGTCAAGTTCTCAAAATCAGTGTCCTATTTGCAGATGTGCAGTTGCAGATCAGATTGCTAAGTAATTATGCTAACAGACTCTTAAATAATGTTTAAAGAGGTCTCTACCGCAGTGTGTTTTAACGAAGTATAATTCTAAAAATTCTCAGACCCAATACCTTACATAAACCACCTTATTAGAAGATAGTGATAGAAATATTTTMAGTTTCATTGCAACATGTAAAACCATTGTTGCTCAGTAGTAGGTTAAGTTGGACAAGTTTTGGTAGTTTTGTGAGGAGCAGCTGCAGTCTGGAAACCAGGTCAGAACATCCTCAGGTGACACCAGAGATGTGGTGTCTGCTGACCAAACAGCATGCTATTGTTCTGGAAATGACTCAATAAAAATAGTGAAAAATTTTGTCTTCGTGCTACCAATTGTCAGTCTCCTTTTTTCCATTCTGAAATCTGCTGTTATTGTTTTCTTCTTTAACAACATAGAGCTCCAGCTTTCAGGTGTGTTACGTAGTCTGATGAAGAACTGATCCATGCTTGTGCCAAGTAATCATATGAGATATACTCAAAAATAAGTTTTGTGATTCTTGCTGTCTTCTAATAAGCTTTTTGTTTACTGTCCACAGGACCCTTTACACGTCCCCACCCTGCTATATGGAGGATGGTTTTTGGTAAGTTTATGTTTCTGACTTTTGCATTGATTTTGCAGGACTGGCCATTTTAACTTTTTAATGAATGGAACTGTCATGAAACACAGTTGTGCATCAAACCTGTGTGAATGTCGCTTCCCTCCCACTTCTGAGCAGTTTCTATAATCTATTCTTAGGATAGTGTAAATAAAATCACCAAAAAAGGTATAATTCATTCTGATACTTTGTTTTAATTGTGTTTTGTGCTTCTTAATCTCCTTCCACCACACCTTTCCTACTGTCATCTCTTCCAACCCCWGCTACTGCGTAGACTGTCTGACTTATAAATCCAGTTGAGTAGGTGGTTTCTTTGCATTATTGGCAAAATATGCTATTACTTTATATGTTTATTAAATTGTATCATTGCATAGCTTAACATTTATTTCTTGCCATGTACATATTCATATTCTTAACTTAAAATTTTATTAGAAGTACCTGTAAATATCAGTGGCATTCATAGTTTGGAAAATAATTGTTAGCTACGAAACTTAGTGAAGTGAAATCCTGCTCCTTAACCATCTGAAAAACATGAGGAATTTTATTTCCAAATTATTCAGGGTTCACAGAASGTATACTAGACTGCACATTTGATTATTTTTAGTGAGACTGAATGTTTCTCTCTCCTGCCACCTTGTATCTAAAAATAAGTAGCTTCCCAAAGTAGCTGATTACTCATCTGTTGACATTGAGAGGATACTGCTGATTAGACTGTACTCATTAAACAATCCTGCTTCTTGTGAAATTTTGGAAACACAGGTCCTAGTGCTCACTTCAAGTTTCAGCACATGCAAAGTAAAAGTTCTCAATGTTGCTACTGTCAGAGGTCGACCCCTGTACTTTTGGGAAAAGGCTGCATGCAAAATCAGGAGCAACATTTTTCCCTGTGTAATTCTGCTTCTTCTGGCATGTTTATTTAGCCATGCTTCAGTTCTCAGACCCCTTTGGTAGATGAAGGGCAGGACTGGTGTGTCCTCAGTATTTCCAGCTGCATCCTGTCCTGCAGGCTGTGCTTCCTTTAGTAGGGTGACATCTGTTCACCTTGTGTTTCTGGAGGGACTGCAGAGGGATCATATAGATACTTCCTGTTCATGTGTGTGTCTTTGAACAAAAGTTGGTTTTTAGCATACACTGAGGACTATCAACATGTGAGTCCTGGTTATAGTTTAAAATACCTTTTTAGAATTGCTGTAGTTTATTTTGGGTGGCAGATCCTAAGTTTATTCACATTGATCTTTCTGCCTGCCATGACATTGCTGCAAGATACAAGTAAGTTTGAGGCTATGGAAATATACACCTCCTACTAATACAGTCTTGGATATCTATGAACTTGTGAATGATGTAAAGATATACTCCCAACAGCAGCTTCAGCTACCCACAGATCTACACCTAGGACTGAACTTCAAATAAGTTTTTCTTTTTTWAAAAAACTCCATATTCAGAGAGGGAGGAGAGAGCTGGTACTCCCAAATGCAATAGTGTTTCATAATTTGTAATGTGAAAACAAATAATAATTTATCTTTAAAAGGTTCAAGCAACAAATTTTCCAGTTCACAAAAGTAACTCAGATATACATTAGTTTATATTTATATATAAACTCTTTATTGCCAGCAAAGCTCAGAATTGCCAGGTGAAATTACTAAATTGAGATTTTTGCTGAAATCTKCATGAAGGCTTAGGGACCTGCATTAGTGTGACCAAGAATACTTAAAGCAAAGGTACAGGGCTAATGCAGTCATGAATCCTGATGTATCTCTTACTAAGGAGCTTCTTGATCACAGCCTAGTACTGTGTGTGTCTAAACTGATTAGACTGATTTTGTTTTGATTAGTTCATGCAGTTGAGCATGTATTTTACCACTTGTCACAGGAGGGGTTATGTAGGGCTGAGTCCTCAGAGATTGCCATCTGACTGGTRTCTCTTCAGCTTTTCTGCATGTAGCTGCTGTATGTAGGAATTCATTTGTAGAACAACTGTTTGAAAGCAGCTATTTGGACTCCATGTTCCAAGCAGTTTTGTGAGTGACCATGATTCTAAAATTGAGTCTTTTTACAGGTCTCAGTGTGCTCTATTTTCTGTTCCTGGTRTTCGTGCTCTTCTTGAACTTTGAGCAGGTAAAAGCAGTGATGTACTGGCTGGACCCTAATCTTCGGTATGCCACAAGGGAAGCAGATATTATGGTATGTATTATGGCACTTCATTGTACATACTTTAGGCATGTTTTACATGAATGAAAAAGGATAAATCTGAATTTGCTAGTATAAGCAGTGCAATTTTTGTGCCTTTACTTGACAGAATCAACACACAGAATCAAGTGTTTTGTGTCAACTATTATTAATTTACATTGAAATCAGCTGGTGTGAAAAATACTCTTCAGTATWTTTTTTTCTAATGTAGATGTTTGGATGAGTGTGCAATTGGAAATATACATGTTTGCAGTGGATTCCTTTTGGTAACAGATACAAGCATGGATACTGAAAACAGAATTAGTAAGGTAGTATCTAAAAGAAGCCTTAATGATGTGTATCMCAGATCAGGTTTTCTGATGCCACAAGTCTGCACACAAAGAACTTTGATCCCTTCTTGTTGCTCTGAGCTTAGTACGTTACTGCCATGCTATGGAGCATGTGGAATATATGTATGTACAGCAACTGCAGGACTCTRCTTCCTTCCAGTCACTCAGCTGAGCACTGATGCTGTTTTCCATTGGGAAATTATTTCCATAAACCATAATCTGGAGTGGCATAGAAAGCCAAGCTTGTTCTGCTTATTGAGCAGCTTACAAAGAGTTTTCCATGGAGAGAACATTCCACTTCAGGTGGGGACATGAAGACAGAGCTGAGGCTGGAAAAGGAGACCTGGGAGAAGGGTATGGGTTATGTAAGGAGGCAAACAGAACAGTGTGAGCAGTTGGGCACCAAGCATAAGAGGGTTACTGCATGGGGAGGCAAGAGTTGCCAATCTTCCCTCCTCACTGTGGCATCAAATTACTCCTCACCACCTGATCAACATGCTCTCTTGACCTTGGGTTTGTGCATCTGCCCACCATGGTCACCTGTTGTTATAGGGCTCATGCCTCATGAGTAGGGAAATGCACTGATTGTCTGTCACACGTGGCAATTTACTGCTTATGCAAACCAGTGCACAGCACCTCATCAACAGTGGCTGCAAACTCCTGCTCTGTAGCGCATGGGGGAATGGAAATTTTTACTGTGCAGTAAGCTTACATTATTTGATTGGCAGTGTTGGCTGGGTGCATGCTCCTTGCCTGGAAAACTGGATGCTTCAGGTATTGTGCCTCAGCCTATCAGCAGCACGTGTTGTGCAGCTCCAGCATGAGGAGTAGGGCTGTGACTTTAGGTTCTKCAGGAGACCTGTGGTGGTGGAAAGGCATGGGCAGCCTGCCCTTATGATGGGGGCAGGACACAGCATGGGCATTGGTGGTGCTGCTGAGCAACAAAAGGGAGCTGAGACAAGGAGTCTGTTGGTTTGTCAGATTCACCTGGCTTTCCTGTCAYTTGAGTTAGAAATAGATTCTGGCTAGGGGAGGGCTAGTGTTACTGCTGAACATAGAACCACAGTACAGCAGATTCCCTGGCTGTAGCAGTCAGTGGAAACTTGCCCTGTACTACTTTGAAATCCTGATATTGTCATGTAAAGTTGTAGTAAATTTTTTAAGTGCCGCTATAAGGAAGAGCACAGCTTGGTTGCTTGCACAGGACTGACAAAGTTAGGTATAAAGCTAAGTTCAACACATTTTGCTGTATGGCTGTCAGAACTGTAGCTGAAAAGATGAGATAGAGAGGAAAAGGCCCCAGAAAAAATAAAAGCAAAAAAGCAAGAGCTCTGAAAAAGAACTTAATTGTGGGGTGGCCTCAATGTGTTCACTCATCATAGGTATTGCAGTATAGCAAGGCACCTGCACCTCTGTGGTGCATTCCTTGTTTCTCATGCTGGCAAATGAGGTGGTTTCAGTTCTCTTGGTGCACTAAAGCTGCAGATTTGCCATCCTTAGAACAGGTGGTGCACCCTTCTCTGAATGACCAGCAGCACAGGCATGCACTAGAAAACATCCTTACTCATAGTAACTTAACCCCTAACTATAGTCCTATAGTGACAGTTAGCTGCCTGCTCATAGAAGGATCTGTGTGAAATTGCACRTTCTTCTTTGTGGGGGCCCGGATTTGAATCTTTCTCGTTTATTTCCTTTTCAATTTGATCAGTGTTCATTTGTGCAAGATTAGCAATAGTTTTGGCCTGAAAGTGAATTCTTAGTTCAGCAGCACTGAGCAGTGCTGTGTTGTCACCTGCAGGTGGCGATGTGTATTTGAGGARGATTGAAGAGCTGAGATTTTTTTWAAAAATGTGTTTCCTATTAGAAATAGTTCAGTTTGTGCGCAGTGACAAGACAGAGCCCCAAGTTGCAGCCTCCTGATGGCATACAAATTCTTTTTCTTGTTGGGCAGTGATTTCTAGCACTTGCTGTGCAGCATATTGAGAGAACCCAGTTCCTTTTTCAGTGGTGACTAGAATATTAATTATTATTCTTGAGGAATCTGCCTCTCATCTGTGACAAGAYAGTTGCAAATTCCCTTTGATTTTTTCCTAATTTTTTTTCAATCCCAGCCTGTGACTGAACTTCCTCGATATGAATGGGTTCTGAGAAATTGCTTCCATGAGGAAAATAAGACACAAAAGATACTCGAGTGAACATTAAGATGAGTAGTGTTTCATCAGAAACTGGGCAGGATTAGCCACTGATGAGGCACATCTGAATACCAGACAGCATCAATATGGGGGAAAGGTGGTTATTTCAAATCAAGACTCCAAAGAAAGGCAAATCATTATTTTCTGGAGTATTGTTTGCTGGTTTTATTGTTATTGATTTGTATTGGTTTHGTTGTTTCTCTGTCTCTTAGGAAGCACACACTTCTTCAGGCACCAAGGTCTATTCTATTTCCCATCAAATTAGACCTGTACTGTGAGGGCACTGAGTCTTAATACTGGAACGTTTTTCCAGAGTTCAGAAGAATAAGAAAATGAAATAATGCTAATTTTAATACCTTTATAATCCCAGGCTTGTTGCACTGAATGGAAAGATGTTTCTTCTTTCTGTAGYTGTGTGTTGATGGAGTGATTTTGTTGAAGTGTTTTTTTCTTTTCATAACAGGAGTATGCTGTGAACTGYCACGTTATCACCTGGGAGAGGATCCTCAGCCACTTTGATATATTTGCTTTTGGACATTTCTGGGGCTGGGCTATGAAGGCTTTGCTGATCCGCAGCTATGGGCTGTGCTGGACTATTAGCATCACCTGGGAGCTCACTGAGGTAGGCCACGCTTATCTTAATTATCAGCAAAGTTATGAGATGTGAATTGTTCTTTGGGGAAGTGTGACTGTTACTAGAAGGATGACTGTCTAGTTCTCAGTATAGATTTACATTTTAAGTCTTATACAACAGATGCTGAGTAATTGATGCAGTTGAATTAGCAGACAACAGCAAGCTGGATTTTAAGTAAGTGATTCATTGCTGCTTGAATAGAAGGGAAGTCTAGGMCAGCCTATTTGTCTCATTCATAATTTTATTTTTCTGCTGTTATGGGGATCATGCTACTTTTTCTACTTCACATGTTTCCTGATTCAGAGCAACTGTTCTCCTTTTTCACCCTGTGATCTACTGTCATGGTCCCTTTACCATACATATAACAATATCCCACATTATGTGTAGTAGTGAATAATGTGCAATTGAAATGGCATTGAGGGATCCCCTTGATGTAAACACATGAACTTAGTCTTTAAAATCAATTTTCTGTGGAGCTTGCTGTCTTGAGAATGCTTGGCTTATCTGACAACGCATTTATRATTCATAAACATAGATAAGGATTTATTTGTCTAAAATTAAACTTCTGGGTTTGAAATCCTGGTGCCATGAGATTTCCTTTTCAAGATGTGTGGCATTGAAGGGTACTGTGTTTTTGAAGTGATTTTGGAATTGCTTAAGATTGGGATTTCACAAGTATCCATTCACAAAAAAACRACTTAGCTAATTATTGTACTCATTTTTCCCTCTGGGAAAGAATATATTTGGATTTGTTTCACTCATACTCTTACTGTTCATTGCAGAACCCCCATTTCAATTTGACACGGCATCAGGTGTCTGGTATCCCCATTGTTGAAAGCAGATTATTGGAGCAGACAATGTGTTGGACAAGGTTCAACATACAGATATATTATCACCACTCAAATGGATTTTTGATGAATTAGATAATTCAGGAGAGTAATTAGAAACCTCCAGAAGAATCAGGGCAGTTACATAGGGATTTAGCTGAGCATGTCCYATTAACATTAATGGATTTCAGCCAACTCCCTGTTCTGAAATGGGTAATTTGGCTCCTGCTCTATAGTGTAGGATTCAAGTTGGGATGCAGGCAGACCTTGGTCTCTCATTCTGAGAAAGCAGTTAGAGAACCTTAGAGATTGTTGGGCAAACAGCTGTGGTCTGGGTTTTGGTGCCTTATTATCTGTGACTTCTGGTCTTTGCCTGGATCTGATTGACAGTTGTAGGCCATTGCCCCTCTCAGGTTAATTTTTTTTTTTTAAAAAGATGGAAGGGAGACTTTAAAAAGCAGGATAATGAACAACACTGTATCACTTGGGTCCTGAAGAGAAATTAAAATTTTCTTTTTTACAGGTTAACATTCACATAGCCTTGTCAAAGAAAAGCAAGGCGTTATGATACACCGTTGCAAGAGTTTTCAAAGGAATTGTCATTGTCAATTGTTGTATACAGAAAACATTCTTCTTATTCCTTTTCTCAAGTCTCATTTTTTCAATACATTTTTTATATGTTTGAGCAAAAGATTCTTTATTACAAACTCATAACTAATCTTCCACAGCCAGAGTGTATGTACATTACCTGACAAAAATTGTACTGTTTTTGTGGACAYAYWYTYTWKWKTKYKMTRTGTKTTKT